TTGGCTGCCTGCCAGGTCACCTGCTAGGCTGCCTGCCAGGTCACCTGCTGGGTTGCCTGCCAGGTTACCTGCTAGGTTGCCTGCCAGGTCACCTGCTAGGTTGCCTGCCAGGTCACCTGCTGGGTTGCCTGCCAGGTCACCTGCTAGGTTGCCTGCCAGGTCACCTGCTAGGTTGCCTGCCAGGTCACCTGCTAGGTTGCCCGCAATTCAAAGCAATTCAAATCCACTCAGTCCTCTCTTCTCACATAGAAAGAAACAAATATCCTGAACAGTGACTATACCATACCTTCCCCAAAGTTTTGATGGGTCATTAATATTCAAAGCTACTAATTGTCGACATTTCATGGAGTCGCTAAAAAGTTATAAAATAGCCACAGAAAATTGTGTAAATTAGCCTCATCATTGCAAGGAAATTGCAAGAAAATGCTACATGATAGATAAATTGGGGGGAAAATATTTTGCAGGGAAAAACACTCGAAAAAATTCACACTGAATCTTTACAATTCATACATAAATCTGTAAACAATCCTTAGTAATCTACAAGACATTGTTTGTTATACAGAATGGATAGTCAGATAAATGCATCTGTAGTTGTGGCTGTATTGATTGGCATTTTGGTTGAAATAGATACAAGTATAAGAGTGGGGTAAATAAGATTTTATATTTTACAGTACAGCCTATATGGATAGGATAGTTAATGTAAATTTTGTAATGTTTTATTTGGAAATATACATGCATTTTGGCAGTACAAATTCTATATTCTGCAGCAAAAACAATTTCAACATACCGTTAAAATCCTATTATAAACCGCGGTTTATATTACAATGTATCAAATAAAAAATTGGGATCAACAGCTCAAGTTCGGGGTGCGGTTTCTATTACGTACATATTGCAATCACTAAATGGGCGTGGTCATTTTTTCTGCACAACACATGCACAAAACCAGGAATACACCGTACAATCTCTTGAATAGAAGTCGGTGAAGAGTGAAAGGCCTTACTTTGGTTCTAAAATAGGCGTCTTGAAATGTTGGAAAATCAAAAGTATTTTTTTCCCACATCTCTTGCACAAAACAAACAACACACCGTACAATCTTTTGAATATAAGCGTAACTCCAATTTAGTTGTCAGGGAAGAGTGACAAGTGTCGCGTCACATGAAAAAAAATACTCAGTAATGACAGTATATTTAATGTAATATGCATTTATTTATTTTTTAATTTTCTTCGTAACGGAAAGTATATTCTGACACGAGTTTCAAATAAAAACAAACATTAATGCATTGCTTAGTAGAAAATGATCATGGTACGGCACTAAAAAAGTACGGTACCGTGGGTACGATAACGCAATCCGGCCATGCTTCGGCTCACAAGTGAATAACTTGCTTGTTTTCGAAGTGTTGAAATTGTTGATTATTACTCAGTAGTGATTATAATAACCCACGAAAAAAAAAAATTCGTTGAATTGTTATCAAATGCAAGTAAAATTCAACTTAGTTTCACCGTAAGCAAATTATTTCGATCACACGTAAACGATAGATACGACATCCGCCATGTTGTTTGAATTCATACGAGACGTTACTTGTCCGGATAGGTCAAGTCGCTAATTAACCAATCAAAATGCTGGATGGTGCCCACGTGTTCACCTTAGTTCATTTAAATATGTTAATGACAGGTCACAGACTTCATGGTGAACGAAACGCGGAAGTGATTTACCGATAATGTAGTGCGATCTTTTGGCTTTGATTTCCATGGGAAAACGACATGACTTTTTTTTTAAATCAAGAAATTAGTTGTTTTCGAAAGATAAACTGAGCATTGAAAAAGAATTTACAGTTTTTCAGTGATAACAGCTCATTGTCGAAAACTTGCGACACACGGACGTATTCATATAAAGAGTATAGACAAAAGTAGGCACGTTGTCGAAACAAATGAATAGCATTAGGAACAATGTACCAGCTGGTTGAAACAAAGTCAGTCACGGTCTTGTTGAATTGGGGGTGCGGTTAGTAATAGATACTTTTCATGTTCATATTGAACTCTTCAATACTGAAGCCGAAATCAGGGGTGCGGTTACTATTAGGTATGCGGTTTATAATGGGATTTTAACGGTAGTTGTGTTTCCTTTGCTTCACCACATGTAATTACAAAAATTGGGGAAATCACAGAAGATCCTTGCTAGATGCCAATCTACAAACATCTGAGGGATTGCCTGAATCATTATACAAGGCAATTGTGTTAAACCTTTCAATATATTGCTGTCATTTTTTGAGTAAATTTGTGTTTTTTTAGTGATGGTCATAGTCCTAAAGTAAGGAATTTTATGCTGGATGTCATGTGTCCATTGATAATGGAGAATGATTCTGTAGCCCAGGATCTATTAGATGCTATTCTCATTAATTTAGTGGAACCAAACAAGGTAAATATAAATACAAATGTTTGTGTGTGCTTTCTTTAATCATGAACATCACGTCCAATTGACTTGCAGCCCAAATTGATATGGTGAAACATTGTCTGTTGCCATGGAAATGTCTTTTATAGTGGCTGTAGATGTAGACTTTTGCCGAGATATGTGAAAACAATCTTGTTTCTCATTTTAGAGTGATAATTGCCATGCCTACAATTTGTGTATTGATTTAATCAAGAGAACTTCGACTGCATTGGAACCATTTTTACAAGGAGTAAGTACAACCCAATTGCTGCAATCTATCTCAATATTATTAGTCCCATACGAAATACCAAAACTGGGACTTGTGTAGACCTAACTTGCATGTGTGCGTGTGTGCGTGCGTGCGCACATCCGTCAATACATTTCCAAAGAAATGGAAAATGACTGTCATGCAAGTATTCTAGCCTTTTATTAAACCACCTTAAGCTTACCACAATAATTTATATTGCAATTTTTTTTTTATTTAGTTTTTCAACAACATGTTGATTCTTGGGCGAACATCTGAAAGTGAAGTATCTGGACATCTATACGAATTAATCTATGAACTTAATTTGATATCTAACAACGTCTTGTTGTCTGTACTACCGCAATTAGAATTAAAATTAAAGGTGCGTATTGACTGTTTGCTCTATTGGAAGTGAATATACACTAAGAATTGCATTTATTTTGACTACTGTAATATACTTTATTTTTAGCTGGAATTTATTTTCACTGATTTTTTGACAAGTTGAATGTAAAATACAGAAGGAATATTCGCTGGATTTTATTTTCACTGAATCATTCCTTCAGTGAAAATA